AATTCTGCGAATCTAATCTTCGTTTTCATGCTGTAATGGATGTAGAGCACAGCAGTTTTGTATTTGGATGCAGACAAATTTTCCTTCCTTAACAAATACCAATAAAAATTGTGATCTGCCTATTCAAAATTATTTGGCCAAAAAAACAATTTATCGTATTTGCGCACATGAAAAAAAATTGGGTTTTCTTACTTCTTCGCGGAATTTTTCATTGGGGAAAAAACTACCGAAGATGGTTTTATATTCCAACTCTACCGAAATGCTCGTTCCAGAGACCAAATACTGAACCAAAAATTGTTTGCAGCATCTATAACAGCCCCAAAAGCGACCGAAATTATTTACTAGCCATCTTATAAGAGAACCGAATCTGTCATTCCGCATTCGCTTGGCGAACTTTGTGAACGAAGTTATAAGCAATTTTATTGCGAGAAACTTTTGCACAGAAATTGCGAAATTGAGCACATTTTCCACTTTCAGCTTACCTTTAGGCTTTAAGAGTATAAAGTAACCTACATAGCTGCATGTTTTGGGCCAGCATTAAGCCTAAAATAGCTCTGTACTGCCAAACCCGCGCTTTGCATGCACGATTTCTACACCAAATAACGTCCTTTAGTAGCTCATAACTTCGCCCACATAGACGCTCAGCAAATATGGAATACAAATTTGAAGTCAGCGTTTTATGCTACATCTAATGGTATGCAGCTTGTTTCAACTGGCCACTTCGATATCCGACCATCCTCTTAGACAGGGAATCATTGTATTTGGGAGCTGTCGTTGATAACTATAATATTGTTCAATTTTTATTTGCTATTTGTTGATACAATCGCCAGTTCGCCCAATGTCATGAATTTTGTATTCAAATCCGAACTTTTTTCCCAATAGGGTTAGGAAAGCGACGCCAACCTTGTTTTCAGGGGCGCATTTTTTTCTGTGACTCATGTGAGTCATTATCCAACCTCATAACTACATAATCCTTTGATATATAGCGATTGAAGAGAAAAGGTGTCCTGGTCACACACAGAACGAACTTCAGTTTTGCCAGGGTGATCAAAAACTGATGGGGCACCTTGACTATATTTGTATTTTGTAAAATTTTCACTCATTGAGGATAATCAGCTACAATGTACAGGGCTCCTAAAATGCAGAGTCGTTTGCACCAGCGGTCGGGCATCAATGGCGCCGTCTCGATCGATGGCGCCGGCGCCGGCAAAGCGCGACCGCTGGCGCAAACGACTCTGCAATTTAGGAGCCCTGTAACAACCATTTATGTAAGACCTTCGCTCAGTAACGTAAGTAAAACACCACCGCTCCTTTATTGCAAGTCATCGAGCTCTCGTATTGATCAAGCTTCCGTAATCGTACCATCGAACTGCTTGATTGGCGAAAAAATTGACCTTGCGATTATTTGCGGAAAGAAACTCACTGGCTTTTAGTAGAGGAACATTAGCAACCGATCCAGTACCTATCCAAAAGTACATTTTTGATTGGGCTTGCAAATTGCCAAAAAGCTCTAATAGTTCTCCCTTGCTTTAGATTCTAGTTTTATGCTCCACTCTTTTTCGTCAAAGTAATTCCCATAATATGTATTTGTTGATCTATTCTACTCTGCTTGACTATCTCAGCACATATACGAGCATACACTTGCTCGCTTAAAAAATTCTGAAGTTTTTCAGAACATTTTAGAACCGATGAAACGAAAAATACTTTTCTTCGCAATAGTTTTGTAAGAGATATCATGTCACTCGCCTTAATTTTTCCACTCCGGCTTCTCTGAAAGCTTGTGCAAAATGCATAAAACAAATCAAATTCTTGCGGCCCTTTATGGGTCGTTTGGCATAAGAGTTAAGTTTTTCATGGTTCGAAACGATATGTGCTTTTTTATGTAGAAGGCGAAAATCTTACCTAAACGAAAGTTACGAATTCTTCTTGAACTGGTGTCAACTTTCGCACTCAAGCCAGAGGGAATTCCAGAGTTTATTGTACGTTTTCATTCTCAAAAATTAGGTTGGTCCGAAAGTTTTGTAGGTTTTTTGAAATGCCCCGCAAATTCCGCACAGTGAAGATAAACAAACATTTCAAGCTGTATCCGACACAGAATTTCTTCTTCTTTGCAGCTACCATATCCAAAATGTGTTTTGTCAGAAGAGTGCTGAGATAATTGCTGAAACTTACAACCCTTCGTTTTCACCACGTCCAACTTACGCTAAATTCAAAATTTTTGTATGAGACTTCTGTGAGAGCTCTAATGACCAGCCGATAGGGCAAACCTTTTGCCAACTACGGCAATTTTTTGCAGTCCTGTGGCTTGTATTTCAGAATTGATAAAATCCATTTTTGAAGCAACCAGGTTTTATATTTCGCCTATTCTAGCCTCGTAGAACATGAAATGGTAAACAGCTCAGGTACCATTTGATGCAGCATTTCCTCCTCTTTCTAACAGTTATCTTTTCTCGGCATGACGCGTAAAATTTGTCGGGAAATTTGCAGTATGTCTCGATTTCACGTGTGCGCGCTGACATACCCTAGATTTCAAAATCTTCATATTTTGAAGCAAAAATCGCTCATTTACTTTGTAGGGTTAGTAATAGTCATAATCGCGTTTGGAAAACTCGTCAATCTGAAAATTTTGCAGTGTTTGGTGCAATAAGTGCTTATGCGATTTTTTCAAAACTCTAGACTTTTGGAAATTTATTTAGCAAAACTCTAAAAATGTAGCTAAAAAAGAAAAAAAAATGCCACACTTAGCAAAAGGTTTGCCTTACATTCTAATTAGTCAAGCTTCCCCAAAAGTCTCATATATAAATCTTGAAAATTAGCGGAAGTTGGACGTGGTGAAAGCAAAGGGTTGTAATCTCCAGCGATTATCGCAGCACTCTTTAAACGAATCACATTTGAAATATAGCTGCTGGAAAGAGAAAGAAAATCTGCATCGTAACAAAGTGATTGTTTATCTTTAATGTGTGGGATTTGAGGGTCATTTCAAGAAACTGACAAAACTTTCCGACAAACCTATTATATTCGTTCATCACAAAAAAATTGCAGTTTTTGAGGAAATTTGCCCCATATCGATTTTCTGCAAAAGCTATTAATGTAAGATGGTTCCAAGTCCCTTTCTCAAAGTGGCAAAGTCGTATTCGTTTCACGGGAGTCCTTTCGCCTCCATTCTGCCGGTGACGCCCACAAGTGCTTTTTTAGCCATTGCAAGCTTGTATGCGCCTTCTTTGCCTTGTTGCTTGCCCTTCATGCCATGCTCTTACCCGCGCTTCTCTTTTTTGTTCATGTTTCTTGTAATCTTACATTAATGCAGTAACATAGATTTACCGATTACTACTTTTTGTGTTCAGTGTAACGTGCTTTCATTATCCAATTTTGAAATAAATTGTTGTACGGTGGTGGTGTTCGGCGCCGTAAAAATGTATTTACCGGTTTAAATTATGTTCGTAATGAATCTTAAACGCAAAATATTTTCTTCAAAAAAGCTGTCACACGCGTACAATGGATTTTTCTAATCCTTCCACTAACCGTTGAACCTCCGAGTTTAATCCTGCGATATTAGGTTGGCGGATGACTTGTGTTAAAGGTGTTCCCATTCATAAAAATCCGAGGAGCTTTCTGAAGAAATGAAGTTTTGTTCCATAGTTAGAGTGTCACTTATCCATCTGCATGTCATTGTCGAAAAAGCGCAAACATTTACTGAAGTGACGACAGTTTTCGCAAATCTCGACTGTTGTGAGTAAGTTTGTACTAATCGAGCCCTTAAAAGTTATAATTTTGAGAAAAGCAAGAAACAGCAGAAAACAAAGACATTTTCTGATTTTCTTGACATTATCACAAAATTCATAACTTTTGATAAAAGGGACAATCAGGACAACTATGCTCTGTTAGTAAGCAGAGTCATAAATCTTATGACACGGAGGTGTTTTGAACTTCACTACACGGTTTTAGATTTTTAATGGGCTTGCTACAAATCTGCAAACCAAGATCTCCATTTTTTTTCATTCTTATCTCTACAATCAGAGCTCAAGGAACGAGGTGTCATTAATAAAAGCATGATTTAGCTTTTTCAACAAAATTGGTGCTAAACAAGATTATTTTCACAAAAAGAAGTTACGATGTTTGAAAATGGTCTAACTGATGTAAACGAGAAGCTCAAAAATCAATTTCTAATGATTTTGGATGAGCTCTCTAGCCAAAATGGCAATGGGCGCCAACTTGGCAGCTACGAAAATGCGCAATCAAAATTTCATTATCTCTTTTCTCCCTTGTACTTCCGAGTAGTGCCATGTTTGACAAAAACTTTGACTTATCTGGCTGATTATGTGAATGACCGGCGGTTCATTAAATGCGTCTTCTACCTAGATTCTCGACTTTGTTTTTGTCTTCCCTTCTCTTTCGCTGATTTCGAATATGAAGTGAATCCGCGCAAATTCCGTCCATCCGGTTCTCCAATGGTGATTGAATGGGCGAGCACGGATGGGCGAGTATTACTGGAGAGCGGTTTGCTTAGGGATCCTCTTGCTTCTTCGTTATTCCAAGAGAAATTTTCTCGCTTCCGAATTGGCTTTTTGCGCTGCAAATTGGACATTGGCTTGATAGGGGTTTCTACTATCGTATGCTGTCAAAAGCTCAAGACTCAAATTCCTAAGTTTAGATGGATGGTGCCTTTGAAAAAGAACGACTACAAAGCCACCTTTTATAAATTGTATGAGTAAGGCACGGACGAGGTGCTGGGCATAACAACGAAACCATTGTACCTTTTCAACAGCTTTGTTAGAAAAACTATAAAAAATTTTCGAATTGAAGATAAAAAGAGTGGAAGAATTTATCTTCTGAATAATAAAATGGAGAACGAGAACCTGTATTTTTATGGTTCCCTTGAAAGCTTTTTGGGCACCGTGTTACATCGTTTGTAATTCAATACATCCCGTTAACTATCATACCTCCTGCAGTAGTTATGTTGTTCATTTTCACGTTCTGACGTCTCCAAGCAGTACGCAAGCATGCTGCTGCTTGAAAATCTTGCCCTGTACATAATACTTGAGACTACAATACAAGGCACAATATCGAAGGAGATAATAGGTAAGCTTTTATACATCAATTTGGCTCTAGATCTTCAAAACAGCATTTTAGCCTACATATCGACAGACGAAGATGAGGAAGGCTTGGCCATTTACCGGCACCTGAACCTGTCGCAGACGTACCACTCTCATATCCACGACATGCACAATATCAGTGTGGAGCATACTGTCATTACAAACACAACATCTTCAGATGAGCGTAAGCGCGCACGTCATCTCTTTGAAAAAAAAACTCAGGGGGCGAAGGCCAGGAGGATGGCTACAAATTTTCTGCTTGGCTTATATGATTCACAAAAAGCAAATAACCTGCTTCTTACAGTGGTTTGGCACTTGAGTTGTTGTGAAGTATTTGGGGGGGGAGGGGGGGGGGGGGGGGGGAGAGGAGGGGGCAGTGATCTATAAGACGAAATAATTTGTTCCTTTCTGTAAACCAATAAAAGATTAATTCAAATGAGATGGTATTATAGTTTTAGTCCGGAAAAGACTTATTATCCCCTTCCCCCATAAGATTTTCAGACCGCTACTAGTTAAATCCCATTAAAAGCTGCACTTCAATCTGTGATAACTTACTGTTGCAAAGAGTACAACAGGAAATGAAATTTTAAATTGTGCTCACAATCCAAAAAAGCCAAATTCAACTTTTTCTATTAGTTTGATTTTCTTTTTCATGTGATATCTCAAGTAAGAATTGGTTTCAGTATGTAAATCGCTTGGTAATGTCAACTTTCTGATCAGTGCTTGTAAGACTGAAGAGTGTCAGCAGCTAGTCACGAATTTCTCACAGTACTCCGGCATACCTACTGTTCACATTGTTCGAAGAACGTGGAATTTTTCCTTCGATAAGGCCAATGGTCAGTTTCGAAACTCTTCGTTACAACTTTCTGCAGTTGCTGGAGTTCCGCATATGATGCACAGTCTGATCAAGTAATCATCTAAGGCATGGTGTATTTGAGTGACATCAGGGAATTCACTAATGGATTGCTGATAAATTCTTAACAGTGGAGTTGACTTTTATCGCTTTTATACCAGATAGTTAACTGAAAAGCTAGTCACGAGAAAAGCTATTGGACTATCTTTAATGCTTTATGAAATTTTAGCACGAATTTGCAACGCAGTTGGGTGTTCTAGATATCCGTGAGAACATTTACCATTAGAGCGCAACATTCAGTGAACGTTTACGTTTTTGGTTGGATTGCACATGCACATTTTCAAAACAGCAATTTTCGGTGTGACGCTTCTTGCTGTTGCATCGGCATCACTAAAACGTAAGTTCATAGATGTCTCATTCATGCTTACTCATGTAATCAGCGTCGCAATCTATAGGGTGATAGATTCGAGGTAAATCGGAGGTCACTTGCCCTACATAGGGTGTAGAAGCGAAAAAACAAGAGAAAAATTACTTAAGTTGCTTAGTACCTTACTGGATACGTAAGCTGATATAATAATTCTACGGACAATAATGCGCGAAAGTACATACATTTGGGATTATAGCACTGAGAATCAATTTCTCCGTGACTGATGTCAGATATGACCGGGCCACGCAGCAAAAATGTTGCCACTGGCCAATCAAGGCCATGGAGATTGACTAGCGGTAGTTTTATCCAATTGACCAAGCTTGGCAAAGGTGGAAATTGTTCTTTCGCAAAATGCGCCTGTCTACAAAGCCATCCCCATCTAGATCAATGGCACGACTGATGCTGAATGCCGTAAGGACAACTATGACCTGCTTTAGGCCACTTGGCGGATTTTTACGGACCAGTATTTCACCACTGAATCCGAGAATGAGAAAGATTTTGTGTAGCTGTAAGTTTTGGTCAAACGCTGCAAGAGTGCGGGACCCACTGCATCCTTTGATAAGAGCTAAGCAGTAAAGTGAACGTTCAATTTAAACTAAGCTCATACGATTAAATAAGGCGTATTGATAGCGAAGCTATTTACAGTTCTCATGCTAAACTCTCAACATTTTAGTATTGCAGACAATGCTTCCAAGAATCAGATATTCTTGATACCTACGACTACTGTATTCTACAACGTCATTCTGGACATTTTGCCTAGCCTCAACTTATCAACTAATGCGAGCGTTCTGTTCGATTCTGCTTACGGTTTGTATCTAGCCTAGCCTAAAAGTCATCGACTAAACGTTTTCAGCAAACATGGGAAAAACACGAGAATTTTTCAATATGCTTCCCGTCTTTGTAAACTTCGTAGAAATCCAGAGCAGTCCAAACAAACTTCAAAAGCAGCTACAAAATATCGCTGCATTTGAACGAGTCATAGTCGTCGCTAGGACAACAACCGCTGTAATGGTAGTGAAAGAGGTCTGACTTACCATCTTATTATGTTTTATTATGTTAGTATTATCATTCACAGAAGCGACCCTTTTAGGAAAAAAATGACACATGAAACTTGTGAAGTTCACATGAATTCTTGAATTTCATTTAGAATAGCTAGAATTTGTTAGTGGGAAAGTATTTCTTGCTTGCACAACAGGGAGGTATTAGGTTATTAAGAGAATGATGTCGCTGTTTATTTGTCAGCTATGCCACTACAACTAGAATCCCAAGAGCGTATGGGAGAGAGCATTCGATAAAGCAAATCAAACTCTACAAACTGGCATTGATGATTCCGCGCCACTATTGTTTGTACTTAAGAGTCAAAATTCAAAAAGGTTCTAAGCGGTCTAAGAAATTGAATAATCGCATCTTTGTCTAAAACCTGCTACGGACCTCTCACTCGCACATATCTATATTAACAGCATTAGGTACAATATCTTGGCAAAATTTTTTCGAGCTCACGAAGCACCTTAGCACAAGTTTACAGAACGCAATTATGCTTAGAAAAACATTCTAAAAGAGTCTCCGCAAAGTGTTCATGTTGGGCTAACATATGGCATTTTTATACACACTAAATTCGTTTTCATAAATCGGAGCTTCTCTTACATTGACCACAAGTGACAACGATCGCCGCATAGCGGCAGGTAAAGTATTGAAGATTGTATATGTTAGGTTAATTTGATAGCAAGTAGGATCGCCAGTCAAATTGGATTATTTGGCGGATTCATGGCGCAACCCATGGCTCCTCGCGCGAAATTGATGGGTTGCGTCATGAATTCATGCTAAATACGATCCCGGGGTCCAGTTTCGAGGCGAAAATCTCAGCTTTTAGTGCACCACATGAGCTGCCGGTTGGGCAGTGGCTTAGTTAGGGCCCCAAAATTACTATCAACGTGAGAGCCCCATGGTCCAGATTTGCCTGGACGCTGCCTCCAAGACTAACACCATGCTCTTAATTGCCATTTCATAATGACGACGTCGTTGCTCAACACATTCACGACAAGGTCATTTATGGATTTGTGCCGTTTCGGACATGCGACCCGCCAGTGCTAACTTCCTCGTTATGTGTTCTTTTTTCAACCGCCAATGGGAACGTACGGTTGGGAAGGTAGTCTTTCAGATAAATCTCCAAATAACTCCAGAAGTGTGCCCAAATCACATGTAGTTTCACTGTAAACTTGCAATGCTTAGACATACAACACACCAGTGTGTCGTCTTGCCCGAAATGGCAGTACACGCACGGCAGTACTGGTAGGTCATATTGTCGTGAATTTTTTGGATTTACGGTTGCCGCTACGTGACGCGCCCCAATTCCATTTACCTCGTAGCGGGAAAGCCTTTTGTAATGGTTGGTTTCCGTTGCTGATCGTTGTACTCGAGCGTTCCGGCAGCTGGGGAATTGGCACCTGGTGTTGGGTGCGCAGCAAGTGGAACCTGGGCAACCGACTGCTGCCACAGCCAGCTGCCGGAGCTGCCGGGAAAGCCCCCGCAGATTGCACAGTAATTAGGCTCGTTGTCTAGAACTCTTCTCGACAGGTTTCGCACCTCGTCGCGCTGTTGTGCGACGCCTCGGGAATAGCATATACCCGATATCCATATCAATTCAACAGCAGAAAGCCGTATTTTGTAGAGAACCATGCAATCGAATACAAAACTAGACCGTAGTTTCCAGAAACTCGCAAACAATTACAGTGAATGAAAGTGGATGTATAGGAAATCAACTAGTTCTTCCTGTCACAAATTTTGTAATCATAGTGCAATGATTGTTTATTGGCGCTGTAGTTTTAACGACTCTTAAATTTTTTTTTCTAATAAAGAGTTTTTGAAAATTGGGCTCAATTATTTATGAACATTTCAAAATTCGAAATGCGGTTTCGTTGATGCGGTTATGATGGGTGGTTCTTTTCAATTTTTAACTTTTCTTTTATTGCAACGAGGATGAGTTCGAATTTTTTTTCGTTATCGTTTTTACCTTCTCAAACTGTGTGGAAAGAAAGTGACGGATTTTTCGCGTAAGCTTGAGCCTGAGGCTTGTTGGTTAGTGTATAGATTGAAACAATATCTTTCCATTCATTGGTGATCTACGCAATGCTAATTTATATCAGCATATTTATTTATCTATTTATACACTTATGTTGTATCATTGAAGAGATCAAAGTCGAACAAAAAAAATCTGTACACAAAAGAAAAGACAAAAGACCAAGCAATTCTCAGCTACAGAAGGAAGGAGGGTTATGCATATAGAACGCAAGACAAGTACCGAAGCCCCTACCATAAAGACATAGACATTCGATTATAAAGATTAGCAAAGCCGAAGGAACAAGCGCTTAGCACATTTCTTTGAAATCTTGCTTCTTCTAAAATCTATTAAGACCCCGTTTTGAGCGTCAGCGAGCCCCCTCCCCCCCCCCTCCCTCTCCCGGTAAAAGCTAGCTAACTTGACCCCGAGAATACTTATTTTAGACGAGAGCAAGATTTGAAAGGGAAGTGGTAGATCAAAAGACGTTGGAGGCATTTTGAATAGAATTAAAAACTCAAAAACCAGAATAAATCGCAAAAAAGAGTGCATTGCCGTGACGACCGAATTGGCACCTCAAGCCCTTTATGTTTCCTACGGGTCTGGGTCAGGTCAGGTCATCTGTGCTGTATGAATAGTGATATAGCAGTGCACAATAACGGCGCTACCCATATAGGTGGTCTGCTCGTAGTCTCTATTGCTGGCTATTGAGGTAAGCATTAGCTTAATTACGGTCTCTGCCTTCATCCTGCAACTACTTTGTGTTGAAAAGTTCCGTTAGGTGCTGAGTACTGAGTGCTTAAAAGAACAGTTTCGCATAGTTTTTGATCTTTCAGGCTCCGAAGAAGGAGTTGTACTTCGAAACGTTAACCGAGAAATAAAGAATGATACCAATCTTGGCACTGCTCAAATAATATATCAAAGTTATATGGACAATGCCAAGATTAATCGACAGTCGAGCTCTGAGTGTTATGAAAGTAGGAATAAACATCCAATTATGAGCGATTGATCTCTGGCCAAGGTGGGGAGGGAAATATTTGGTAAAATTAGTCTCATATGATGATACCAAGAACATTCGGCGCGACTGCAGCGAAGCGCAAAACAGTAAAAGTGTGAAGAAATCTCCTGTAAAAAAGAAGCACAGCACGAGAAGTCTCCGTAATCAACAAAAATCATTCAGTGGCTTGAGATCGACGCTCCTAACGCTAGGCCCAAAAGAAAATACGTTTTGCGCAGAGAGCACATGAGGAGGTAGTTAGTCAAGCCACCTAGAAATTTTATAAGGGAAACTATTGAAAACACGCAAAAACGCCTTTTGTTGTTACGAGGATGATTAATGTTGAACATACCCGCTTTGGCAGTAGGTCTAAATATCCAGTACTTGTATTCAGCCTGAGTTCTTTACACAAGAGTCGGAATGCAAAAACGAGATCGTGATACATATGTCTGTGTTCCAAAGTGGCATATCTTGTCATATTTGGCATATCTTCCTCTTTTATCATCGACCTATCCAATCTGAATAACCTATGTACTTTTGCTTATAGCTCGCTTAACATCACTATAAAAAAATTATTTTGAAAGACTTTTCTTACTCTTATATCCACAACATTTTGTGTAATTTTTTCGTGCGTCCTCGGACGTTGAAAGCGAAAAAAAAAGATTTGCAAGACCTGCATTCTTCAGCTTTTGCTTATTTTGAGGATTGAAAGCAGGGTCAAGCGTGTGACGCGACTGTCGCAATAAGGAGTCGTAAAGAGGGGACCTAAGGTGAAAGATGGGGGTTGTACGATGGTACCTATAGGAAGGGGGGGGGGTCGTAAAAGAGGACCCAGGATCACGTCGACATGCTTGACTTTGATCGAAAGTGATTTGGTCCTGTGACCATCTTTAAAAAAACTCTTCTCTACTTAGCTTAGATTTGCATGGTTCTCAAAAACATGAACATTTTAAAATGGTTTGATATTTAGGATATTACGCTATCCCTACGCTACCTCTGAAGCTGACATCGCACTTCAGCACTTCGACGAGTGCGTAACTCTCGGCAGGAGTTTTAGACAGCGAGCGTAATTACTGTACCATCTGCAGCGGCTTTGACGCCAGCTCCGGCGGCTGGCTGCGGTAACAATCGGCTGCCCGGGTAACATTTGCTAAGCACCCAATACCAGGTGCCAGTTTCTCAGCTGCCGGAAAGCTAATTTAGTACAACTATCAACAACGAAAGCTAACTAATACAAATGGCTTTCCCGCCTTGAGGTAACTGAAATTGAAGCACGGCACCTAGTAGCAATTGTGGGTCCAAAAAAATCAAGACAATACGACCCACCAGTATGTCTTGCGTGTACTGCATTTTGGACAAGGCGACCCACTGGTGGGTTGTATGTCTAAGCATTGCAAGTTTACAGTGAAACTGCATGTGATTTGGGCACACCTCTGGAAACATTTATTAGAGCTCCAGGTTGAAAGACTATCTCCCGACCGTACGTTCCTATTGGCAGTCATAGTTGCGATAGGGGGAGTGATGGATCTTACCCCCTTCACTTTGAGGCCAAACTCCCGATGACCCCCTTCACCTGGGCTGAGATTGGTATCGTACTCTGAGAATATGATAAAAATCGTTATGAAAAGCAGGCTAAGTACCTCAAACAACAAGTACACTCATAAATTTACTAAAGAAACGGTATTTATGTTTATTTATATTATTTATTTATCCTCGTAGCATTTTGGAGAGCAGAAAGTGAGGACACAAAATCAGTTAATTTTTGAAGCACATAAAATCCCTCATATCTCGCGGCACAGAAGACCTAGAAAAAAGTCGACGGTCTACGTCGATTCTCCATGATCTCAGCTTTCGAATGGTATACAGCATGTTAGGGCTTCTTTGCTTCACGGCTCTAAAAATCATTTTCTCCGGTAACCGATAAAAGCCAATACATTGGTGGAGCCGGATTGGAGCAAGCTAATAGTAAATATCTCC